AGGGATGCAAGACTGGGCCCTTAGCTTCTGCTTAGGAAGTCAATGTTGATTCAGACAGTATCTCTTCTAGCCAAAAATATGCAGCAAAAGGAAAGTAACATAAACAAGGCTAAATGTCAACAGTGTTTGCAGACTTACAGACACCATCCATTTGTTTGTACTGAAATGACTAGCGAACCATTTGGCAAATACAATGCTATTCACAGACCAGCCCTTTTATCCAGCAACACAAACTTCACTGGATCACTGGCATTCCCAGTTAATTAAAAAAAGGAAGCAAGCCATATGAGTTTGGTTTGATATTGCCATGCAAATGGCACTGTGACATCCAGAAGTGTGTCTGAAACCCAGGCGGGGGCCGAGGTGCTGATCTCCTGTTCAGAGGAACAGTTTGTACTCTCAAAGCTGGCCTTGGACCTCCTAACTGGAACTAAGAAATCTCTTCAAAAGCACGATAATGGGGTAAAGAAAAGCCTGCTGTAAAACTTCCATATCATTTCATTCTGCCGTGAAAGAAAAGAATATTCTGGTTACTCCTCCAACTGCAGATCAGGACAAAGTGTTCCTTAAGTGTGTTACATGATATTGTAAATGGGCAGTACTACAATTTGCTGCAGTAGGATGACCTTCCATTGCCTTGGAGCTGTCCTAGAGCTTGGATATATCAGGCCTTTTGCTTCTTAATACGGATTTTGTAATTTAAAAGTTCTGCAATAAGGATTCAGGTGAAGCCATCACAAATAATTAAAAACCTTTTTCCGCATTTTATGTGTTGGTGGTAGATCTGACGGGGTTAGCATTATGATCTTTCTGGTTTTGACACCTGTGGCAATAAGCAATTTACAATAACTAAATTCACTATTTAAATATTGGGGTAAAGCACTATAATTATGTGACAATAAAGCTGTAATAATCTGCCACAATTGATCTCCCCTTGCCCAGCCCTCTTGTCTGCGCTGCAGTTGCACATTTGGAAGGTATTTCAGAAAGTTACAATGCTGAACATTTTAATAATTCTGTGCAATGCTGAAATATTTCTGCTGCAAAGGAAACTGAAAGTGCTCAGCCCTTTGCAGGATCAGAACTCCAAAGCTGCTCCCATGTATCAGTGGGGCCCTGCCCTGTTTTCATACAGTGAAAGAAGTGATAATGGGGTGGAGCCTGTGCAGGAGAAAACAGCACTAATTGCAGAGGAAAGCAAGCATGAATGGAAGCAAATTAGATTTAGAGACAACATGGAACTAATACTTTTGGACATCATTAAGTGTGGATTGAACAGCACTAACCCATTAAGCAGCCAGCTAACACCCAGGACTATATCTGGCTAGTGGTTCTGTAGCCCATCAGTTCTCCTTTGAAAGCCTAAGTACTTCCCAAGCAGCAAATGCAAGTAGGGAAATTTTACTATCTTGGTCACAAAGCAGAGAAATTTAAAGGGCAGGAGAGAGAGATGGGATAGGGTCTTGTCATAAATGGCCTTGTGCACAAATCAAAAGTAAATTAAGGTATTGGAACAGAAGGTAGAACATTATTGTGATGCAACTACATGTATGTGGGAAGACGAGCAGAAAAAGAGAAGAGCATAAATGGAAGGGAAAACAGATCTTTCAAAATGTAAATACAAAATAGATCTAGAACCTCCAAGCTTAACTTGTCAAATCAGGAAGGGCTGTGAAAGCAGAGTACACAGATGCTCAAGACAGCTACCAAGCCATGGACCTTGGGTCTCTCCGTTGGGCTACTTGCTGTCAATCAGCAAGGAAAGACCTATCATCTTCTTAGGAACTGAGTGCCAGCAACATGAACAAGATCCACTCCTAGGCAGAATCACCTGAGACTCCAAAACCAAGTACAGTTCAGGAGGAACTCTAAAATTATCAATGCTCTTTTTTTCTTTCTGTTCATTCTGCTGTATAAGGAGAAATATTACAAAAAATTCGTGATTTTTTTTCTCAGTAGCATTTTGACGTGAAAATTTCTTTATTATGCAGTAATTATGGTTCTTTCCTAATTGTGTCTTTCATCTCTGCAGCCTGAAGCATGATAGGAGCATAAATGAATTATGTGTACATCATCAATCTCTCTCATTCTCCATGACAGGGAAACTGAGGACTGCTTCCACATATGCAGTGACTTTCTGAAACAACAATGTGAGTTGGTGGCATTCTCCTCTAGAAGCAAAACTATTTTTGTGCCAAGATTTTTGCTTAAAAGCTGACCTACTATCTTAGGGTAAAATCTGCCATCTAAAAATGATCCACATGGATTGCTGAACACCCCAGCTTGTTTTTGGCAGCCAGAAATTCAACTCAATTAGCATGGCCAGCCAAAAAGGCAAACTCAACTTACTGAAGCTGAAAGATTTTATTTCAGTTTTATTTCCTCTGTATTCTGACTATGGAAAGAGCACTATGCCTTGCTCTCTGAGTGTGCAAGGACTGCTATCAAATGCATCAATGTTTTCTCTTGAGATGTCAACAACACACACACCACTGGCTGTAAAAAGAAACACAAATGCATGGAGTCTCCCCAAACACAAAAGGAACATAAGAATCATGCCCTGAAATCAGATGCTGGAGGTGTGTCTCAAGTTTTCTCATCTGCCAGGCAGTGGGATAGACAAAGAGAACCATGACTTTGGTCATGGGCTTCGTGCAGGAGGAAAGGAAGGAAGGCTAAGAAATGAACAGGGCTCCTGATTGCTAATCTGCAAGTGCAGAAACATCAGGTGGGACTCCCCACACTAACATGCACAGATGGAGTGTGATTTCACAGTATAAAATGTCACTGAGAAAATGAAAACTCCCCCCAAACCACTACTTTAAAGTGGGTGGTGTCCAAGCCAATCAATCAAACAAAAAAAAAAAAAAAACCAGCTACTGACATGGGGTTTGTTCATGCTCATCCACTTTTCTGTAGATGAAATTGAGAAAAAATAAAAAATGTATTTAAATAATCAACCTTTATACTTATATTCTGCAAGCACCAATAGAATGACAGAAAAGAATTTTAAAAAGCTATTTTTGGAGGGGGGAGACAGAAGGATTCCCACTGCATTTTCGATTAAAAAATGGCTTAAAAAGTAGAACAGAGAAGCTTCTGTTGTTTCTTTTTTTCCTTCATACTTCAAGTCAAATCCATTATCACTGGGCAGAGCTTGTGAAAGGGATATGGTCTTTAAAATCATATAAACCCAAGCTATCATAAAATGTCTGTTGAATTGATTGGAAGATGAAACAAAAAACTAATGGAAGTAACATGACCTCATTTCAATAATAATATTAGAGGGTTTTTTTCTGTTGTTGTTTTAAAAATCTTATGCCTATGAAAAAGTATAAAGATATTTTGCAGAAAGCAGCTAATCTTAGTTTTCTATATTTTTTTAACTTCTTTGTTTAGACAGTAATTTCTCTGTTGTATTTTTTTTCTTTATTGTTAATTGATTTTACTCCACAAATGGAAAAAAATCCAAGTAGGATTTTACCTGCTGCAAATTAAATCAACTATTAACTCTTTTCAATAATGTAAATGCTGATTTTGAAGAATCTGGAAATATTTCCAACTACCTAAATTGCTCCTTAGTGCACTGAGACACAGAAGTTTACAAGTAAGGCCACATGGATACTTGGGCAGACATTGGTTAAATGACACATATGGGCAGATAATGACAATATTGTGAAGTCACAATGCTCTAAGGATACAAGTGAGATAATATTTGTGTGTAGGTATCAGACTTTTTTTTATCAGATAACTAATACACATGGAAAAGCAGGGAGGGGCCTGGGGCTTTGAGCATCGACACTGCCACTAAAGTAAAAGTTCCCCCGAACCTTAGGTTAACCAGGGGAACCACTCTTAAATGCTTGCAGATTGAGGGTTTCATTTTAAATTGTCAGGCTTGAAAACTGTTGATAATGTTTTATTTTCTTTTTCTTTTTCTTTTTTTTTTTTTAACTTGAATGCATTTTATTATGTACGTTCAGCTCTGACAATGAGTTTTCTGATTAGTTTGAAGGTTAAGTGAAATGAACATTACTGAAGTTTTTGTGTCCTTTGCTGACTCTGCTTTTTAAAGTGATACTCTTTTTCAAAGGATTTACACTCTAAAAGCTCTTCCAAACAAACACTATGCTGACAAAATAGGAGGTAAATAATAAAAACAAAATCCTCAAGCTCATTTGTTCCAAATAGATTTAACTTTAATTCTTATAAATATGAGGTGTGTGATATGAGGGAGTAAAACTGCAGTTTTGTAAATCAGAGACTAGAAAGGGTAAAAGGTGTTTTTATTTGTTTAGAGTGTTATTTTAATTACCAGGAGGCATGCTCTAAATTAGGCAAATCACAATTTACACAACTGCTAGTTAGAGTAGTGAAAATGGTCAAGGGCAAGTACTGCATGTGTGCTTTTGAACCAAACCAGAAAATTATAATTAAAAAAAAATGAGGGAAAGAAAATGAAAGAAAGAAAAAATAAAATCTTTCAACACAGGTAGACACATTCCATGCACTTGGTCTTTGATTTCATTAATGTTGTGGTAACTGAACACACCTCAATCCAAAGAAAGAAAGGGGGCGGGACGGGGGGGGAAGGAGAGAAAGCAACGTTTGCTTGGCAAAGCATCCAGTGTTTTTCATGGGTTTGTAGATCAAAATACTGAAAAGTTTGCAAGTTACCATGTATATTTTTTAAAACTTTTTCCTCCTTTGAGTATGCTAAAGCAGTAAGTATCCCCTTCCAATACCACTAGCACAGATAGTCTATATTGCTGCTACTCTAGTTTAAAAAGCAGGTTCTTTCTAAAATCCTGTTTAAGTATGCATGCAGCACTGCTGATTTCAATGGAGTAGACCACATATAGGACAAGAATTTGGCCCACGGGGTTTAACATTTAAAAAAATGTATTACTAACAAACATGACTAAGTATATTTAAAGAGCAGCTTCATGATTCTGCACAAGTGTTTTCTGAAATGGTCTAAAAGAAGGTCTAAAACTTACCACACAAGTCAGGTCTCTTGATACATCCACTAGTTGCTGTGCTACTTGCAAGTCCATTAAAGGCTGCTAAGCCATCAGAGCTGTAAGCTCTTAGGACTGACAACATGTTCATCTGCTTCTCCAGGACCTGCGGACCCTGAACTTGTTCGGGTTTCATCACTTCTTGTGCAGTTTCGTGTGAGGAGAGAAGATTCTGACTGTGCCACTGCTTTTCTGAAGCTTGTGGCAGTGGTGATACAAGCCCTTGTGTGGGTTGTGAGGTGACTGCACTTTGTATATTGTCGCTTCCTTCGCTGCTTTCTTTATTTAGGGCAGACATCTGCTTATTCATAATATCTGGTTCTGTGTCAATGTCCTCATCTTCAATGTTTTCTTCCTTGGAAGATTCCATATCCTCAGATGAAGCTATGTCAGAAAGGTCATCAATAGCACTTTTATTTACAGAGTCAGAGAGCAGAATATTTGGGTCATCTTCAGATTGTGTTTTTACTTCGGATTCATTACTGGTGCAAGAATTTTGTGTTCCCGTGCCAATAACACCAGGATAAACACCGAACTGCTTATAGAAGTCTGTTGTAAAATTACAAAAACTGGATTCCATGTGGCTGGGCCAGGCTGCGCTCTTTTGCTCTCCCAGAGTCTCTTTATTTTGTCCTTGGGTCATTTTCTCAGAAGCTGTGTCCAGCTGGCTCAGCATGTTTGAAACTCCTGCCTCCTTGCCGGGCTGCACAGAGGAGGGGAGCAAGCTCACTTTGTTCACCGAGGCTGAAACTTCTCTAGACTGCTCTTTGCTGTTGCCTATGATGTCTTTACGTTTAGCCTTGCCCAAGTGGTTGGCTTGGAGGTGCAGAGCCATTAGCTCCATGGATGAAGTTGTAAAGGAACAAAATAAGCAGCCATGCCAAGCAATGTTGTCTTGTACAGTGACAGAGGAACCCGGCAGGGAGGCTGCATCGGGCCTTACCGACAAGTCCAGAGGTTCGTATTGCGACTTTTCTGTTTTCCGCTGTGAGGACTTGCTACTTATCTTCTCCTCACCACCGTCTGAGCCCAGAGCTTTCGCTGAAAGTGGATCTGAGAGAGCTTTATCCTTCATTTCTTTTTCTTTCTTCAAAGAACTTAGGACAAAGCTGTCCATGAAAGCTTGCAAAGACCCTTGAAAGTTCACACCGTTCCCGACCATGTTCTGGTAAGCACGGCCGAGTTCAGAGAAGTGTGTTCCTTTGGAAGGTATGTCTGAACCCTTCATATTTTCCGAAGATCCTTCAGATGACATGCCAACTGCTTGTCCTTGCTGATCTCCAGAAGACAGCATTCCTGACGTCCACTGCTGTGAGACCATGCCACTTCGGAAGTCGATACCAGGAAGTCCCTTGAAGGCTCCTCTCAGTATGTCTGGTCTAATAAACACAGAACTTTTACTTGGTGCCTCATCCTTGTGTTCCTGACCTGCACTCTGCCCAGAGAGCGGTCCTGCTCCGTTCTGTCGCTCCCGATGGTGTCGTTCCAGGTGGTATTTGAGGGATGCAGACTGAGTACCAGCATAGTCACAATGTGGACACTTGTAAGGCTTCTCACCTATAGGTGTGGACAAAGAGGAAAACATAAAGACAGTTAACTGTACTTCGGGCTACGGATGAGTGGAGAAATTAAAAAATCAGCATTAGCTGCTTAAAAACATGATCTTGGTACTAATAATTCATTTCTTAAAAAGAAACACCTTTAATTGAAGACTAATTCTTAAACTGAGTATTTTTAAAAGGGGTTTCTAGAATGTGGGGCTATTCAGGAATGACATGGTATCTACACACAATTAGCCATCCTTTTCTTAATCTAACATGTAGAAAACTGTTGTAGAATTAAAAGCTATGATTATGAAAATGAAGCATAACAATTTTAACCACAGTAATCATTAAAAGTACAAGTTTAAAAAAAAGGGGAGACAAAGAATGTAACAAATGGATGGTTGCAATATTTTGTGTATACAATTGCTCTAAAATTTGTTTAAATTATACACATGGAAACCATTTTTAAACCTAAAAATTTTATGGCACTGTTACGCAAGACTGAAATGAATGATTTAAGTCTTGCTCTGCAGTAAATCATGGATATAATTAGCAAATGGCATACTGCACAAGTAATTTATCATTATTTGGAGGGCACCATTCCAGAAGGATTCAAAGATCTGCAGACCTACTGCATTGTTTCTAAATAAAGAACTATAAATACAGATTCTATAAAATATTAATATCATTACAGTACATAATGATTGCAGCATATAAGAACATATAGTTAAAATAAAAAGTAGTCTGTAAAAAAGAAATTGAGTAATAAAAAGTACAAAATATATTTAGTTTCTGTATTTGAAATTAGTATTATCTACTGGTTTTTGCAGTCCTTTAATTTTGTACTAATGACATTTCTAAGGCTCAAGTAGTAAAATGTGTAATTTACCTACCATAAGCACTTTTCTAGGTTTGGCTTGAATAGAGTTTTAAAACATATAAGATGATTTCCATGAATTAAGCAAATATTTGAAGCCCACACTAAACTTTTATTGTTCTTCCTATACTTTCAAAGAGGCGGAAGATTTTACACATATAATAAATATTCACATATAGTCATAAAGACATATCTGAAAAGAATGTACGTCTAAGCAAAGGTATCTCTAAATTTTTGCAGAGCATTGTTAGCAATGCAGAATTCTTTTAAAAGAAAAAGTATGGAAATCCTCTCTAAAAGTGACAGAAATCTGAAAGACCTGCAAGCTGTCAATACTGGCAATTGTTGCTATGAGGGAGTTCTGTAAGAAGAAAAAACTGTTATTTCTAGGTAGCTTTTTTTCCTAAGTGATACAAAAGACAAAGAAAAACTTCTCCAAATGGTACAATGGAAACAATTTGTTTTGAAAACTTCCTCCACAGTAAAAATGCTGTATAATATTATGTAGTTTACCAAACCAGCTGGAAAGTTATCCGCTTTCAAATAACCTCAAAATCTGCTAAAAACAAAATTGAAAAGCTTTCAAACTTCTTTTATTTAAGCTAGAGGCTCAATTGAAGGGCTTGTAAATACTTGGGAAGCTGCTCCTCTCAGTGATGGCAGGAATTTGCTAATGAGAGGTGAGCCCAGAACACTCCATGGCCACGGAGGGCTGCACGAGAGCTCACTGACAGGAACTGGGGCTGGATCCGTGCTGCAGTCCAGCCAGGGCTGAAGCACCTTACCAGCAGTGGAAATTCTAAATCCATAATGTAATCCTAAAGCTAAACGGTGAGACGTGAGAGCTTTATATCAAACCACATCAATCGACCTTTTTAGAGGAGAAAAACGCAGAGCCTCAAACAAGAGGTGCTCAGCAGAGGGAGAGGTAGTAATTAGCATGGTTCATGCTTTAGGCCTCGGTCCACACAGCTTAAGAGAAGAAATCAGCTTTAAACATTTCAATGAAATTTCTGAGTCTTTCTCAATCACCCAATTAAGCTCTGGTGCTTCACCAACGAGGAGCAGGGGTTGTGTTTAGTGGGAGTTGTACAGAAGCAAACAGTTCCTACTGAGCCACAAACATGAGACAGAACACACCTGTCTGGGCTTCCCTGGTCCCAGGTGGGCACCTGAGCATGCACACACTCATCACAGGCCTTTGAGAGCAGGGACAAGAGGACAGAAGACACTGGCTGTCTGTTTGTTTGCATTTCTGCAGGGCTGCTTGGGAGCGTGCAAACTCTGCCAGCTGTGCTGCCAGTCAGAACAGGGCCAGGCAGTGATGCTGGGTTTACAGCATCACTGTAATATTTTTGGAGCCTCTTTCAGTTCTGATGTTTGTCCCACCAGTTACTGTCAGCATCTCTAGTGACTTCTGGCACAACTTAAGTACTTCAGGTGTTGCCTAAGACATAATGAGACTGGTGAAAAGTGCCTGACTCTACAGGGCTGAATGTTCTCACTTTTAAATTTTCACTCCTCTTAATTGAAAGCTCTTTCTCAGCATCCCCGATGCCTTTATGTAAAACTTTAACACAATTATATTGAGCACTTCCTTGTATCCTAACGATAGTTCAGTGTTTGCATTGCATGTAAGTGGCACCATCAAAAAGTGTGCCCCAGCATTGCAGGCACTACATCAACTGCTGGAGAACTATTGCAGGGAGAAGGAGAAATTTGTAACATAGTCTCTAGTGATGTTGTTAAAACATGCAGAAACCCCTTAAAGCAGTATGCATATGTGAGAATAGGTAAAAATAAGTTTAAAATGTTAACTAGAAAAAATGCTAGTTCTGTTTTGTACTTCTGAAATACCTTCAGTCTAAAGCCCTGGGCACAACATACTCTTATTCTGAATTGCTAAGCCTTGAAGTCATTCCATTTTCTGCTCTAAGGCATCTCCACAGAGCGAGCTTCCTTTCAGCAGAAGAGATCTGCACACAGCTCGCCACCAATGCCATGAGCATTGGACTGAAAGAAGACACTGACTGAGACAGTGTGAGAAAAAGTTCAAATCTCTCCCAGCTTTGGTGTGCTGTCTCTGTGGTGCTCCCACCCCTCACATGACTAGAAATGAGATCTAAAGCTGAAGGTCTGAAATTGAACTCAACATGTAGCAACACACTGTGCCACCTTTGCCATACAGGACTGGCCAAACAGCATTGTTCAAAGGGAGCCATTCAAATCTCGCTGTTCTCTGCCAGATCCAAATTCTGGCAGTGGTTAGTTTATTTCAAAGCAGTCTTAAATGCTGCTATTTCAAGGGCAGGCATTGGGAGAAGGGAGTAGGATGGAGTCAATCATCTTTGAATCTTTTTAATTTAGTCTGTCAGTATTTCCTAAATTCAGTTATTGTACAGTTATTTAGATGCTACTTCATCTATTCAAATTAATAACCAGCTACACCCTGTATAAGACCCTGTACAAATGAAAAAACAGAGTTATAAGCTGCTGTAGGAAAAATCCCAGTCTAACCTCAAACCAAGCCAGTTTCAATGGAAAACCCAAAGGACCACTAATTTTCAGGATTCTATCAGCAAATGCAGTAGTACATGTCCAAAGAACACTGCAGGGGACAAGGGAGGTATGCTATGATTCTTGTTAGAAGACAACCTGTTTATGTCTCATACTTTGAGGAAAGGTTTCAGAGAATTCATCCTAGTGTAATGACTACCCTGGTATTATTGCCAAGAGCAGTGTCTGGATGAGTTATTTAACACTTAATATCAGCTCACATAAATTAATGTTGCCATGTAGGAGTGAGGGAACATGACTTTTTCAAAATAATTTTCTGCATTTCATATCCAAGAGTCATTTTTCATTGTTCACTAAGGCAATGGCCACCCTGAATTTGCTAATTCTCTGGCCCAGTCTGCATGCCTGCAAACTTTTTCACAATAAAGTAGGATGAGAGAATATTCCAGTATGTCCAAATAATCTTATAGGGAGTACGTTATCTGGGCAGCATAATCGCAGTTTTGATCTACCTACTGTTATGGTTTACAAGACACAAGATATCTCAGAGGAACTATTTTATATCAGGATAAAGTAAAACAATAAATTTCAATGCTGCTTGTAAAATCTGCACAAAATCTTGGTAGATAACTGGAAACAGACATGTTGCCCAGAAGAAACAGGTCTATTTTTGTAGCAGGTTTATAAACCCCCCAGCTGTATGACCTATGCAGGAGCTCCCCAGTCCTGCTCAGAGCACAATCTGACCCTATTGGTCAGGGGAACCATCTGCTATGGGCTGTGCAAGGAGACCACAGCCAGATTATAACTAGATTTACAGATTTTAAGGCCAGAAGGGACAATTATGATCATCTAGTCTTATCTGTTCTACAACACAAGCCAAAGATCCTCACACGATAATTCCAGCATCAGAGCATTTTGAAATACATTTTGAAACGAAACTTACTTGCTTTAGTTTGAACAAATTATGTTTCAACAATGGCAGTGAATAAGACTCCAATATTTCCCTAGGTAAACTGTTGGACTGATTAAGTATTTTTACTGCTCAAAATGTGTGCCTTATTTCTAGTTTGGATTTGTCCAGTGTTTGCTTCCTACTACTGAACATTGCTACATTTTTCCCTGTTAGATTGAACAGATTTTTTTAAATTAAAAAGTCTATTTCCTAAGGAAGGTATTTGCAGACAGAAAAACAATCACTTCTTCACTTTCTCTCATCCTTGAGTGGAACATCCTTCCCAATTTTTCTGTGTCCTTTTAAATTATGGGTACCCACTAAACCTTTGATGAAATTTCAACTTGATAGCAATTTTATACAGTCCATGACTGTGTTTACATCCATAGATTTAGCAATCAACTAACATCCCATATTCTGTTGCTTCTCTACCACAGTCCCAGGCCCAGTTCATCACCGCCTCTAGTATTTTTTCCTTTACATGTTGCTGATTTAAAATTCATATTGTTGAAAAGAGCCCACTTGACTAAGTGACTAATCAGTGCCTCCCCATGATTTTTAGCATCTTACCATTTTTGTGCCATTGGTAAATTTTATCAACAGTGATTTTTATATAGTCTTCCAAATAATGATGAAATACCAAATAGATGGAGCTGAAAGCACT